AATATTACTCAGCAATCAAAAAGATAAATGCATGCCTTTTGCAGCAACATGGATGGAGCTGGAAGGGAACATGCTTAGTGAAATAAGCCAGAAAGAAAAAGAAAAAATACCAGATGGTTTCACTCATAGCAAGAGCATGAAGGACCCGGGGGGGCTTTATAATAATAATAATGAACGAATATATACCAGAGACATTTTACGGGGGTGGAGTGGGGAATAGGAACAAATGGGGGGGGAGTACACGGGACTATGGCGAGGGCACACGGGTGATTTGGTGATGGGAAGCCCACGGGGGTTATAAATGAGATGGAAAAAGGCACAGAGTGATGTAAAAATAAACTAGTATATTATTTTAAAAAGGTGACAGATGAGATTAAAAGGCAGGCTGGAGGAAAGGGAGTGAGGATAGAGCAGAGAGGATCATTGTTTCACTCCTCACCCAACTGAGCACCAACCATACATACATGCGCCATGTGCAAGCAAACCACGGGCAGGGAGGACAAGTAGACTCTTCCATTGTCACGGGGCCTTTACATTCAGTTATGTTTATTTACATTTGGGGTTGACTAATACATGCGACTGCGCTGGAACTTTGTATGGACTTATTATCACATATTTGTTTCACCTGAGGGTCCAGACTGAGGCATTGAATTTTGGAATGATGTTATTTCAACGTGGTGCTTGGTCTACAGAGTGTGTGTTAGCAGGGAGGGGGAAGCGTATATTATGATGAGAGTTTGCGCTGATGTGGGTTAGCCCCAGGAGCCACCCAAGGGCTATCAAATGTCAAAGTGGAAAAAAGCTACTGAGAGTGGGTGCTTTCCAAGGACTGCCTTGCCTGTGCTGCAGGGACCTTCTCTGAACTTTGGGGTGACTTCTTAAGCTGTACTGGAGATGGGGGTTCAAAAGCCTTCACCTTGGGGCCCTCCCTGGTGGTGCAACAGGGTTAAAACACACCAAGAAGCTAAAGCCACTTCAGAATGAGTTTGAACCCTGCTCCAGAGGTGATCCACATGGCGCAGCAGACCTCTTCCGACCCCTCAGCAGTATCCTTCATTAGTCGGCCGTTTCTGCTCCCCACTCTGTCTCTGATGAATCCTCTAACCGCCCCTGCACCTCCTGTACCCCAGTTCTGTATGCATAAATAAATAAACCTTAAAAAAAAAAAGCCATCACCTAGAGGCCACTGGTCTTCAGGAAACTGGGGAGCTATTTCCATCTTTACTAAATGGGGGGGAGCAACTAAAGGGGATTTTTTTTAAACTGATCAGATTATACCGACAATAATGAAAGATGAGGGGAAATGAAATAATCCGCACACAGTATTTAATAGAGGTCATCATGGAGAAGCCCTTCACTAAGTTAAACTAGAGAACTGAGCATTATGTTCAGCAACAAATTTGTTGCTTCACAATCAAGTCCATGTTCACCTCGTGCAAAGCCCAGGGTATTTTTATATGTAGCCCCATCATATCTGATCTGCAGCCCGCTAGCATTATTCATTTTGAAGGCAGACTTTAAATACACATCAGTCATTTATTTGCTTATCACAAATTCAAAATTTTTATGTTAAGACAAACTAAATTTAACCACCAATAACAGACAAGTTTGTGCTAAAATCAATTTTATAGGGTTTACCATGAGAAGCACTGAAGCAAATTTCTCATAATCTGTGTAGATAGAAATAGCCAAATTAATCCATGCCATTATTGGGGTCACCCAGGAAATATAAATGAGGGCAAATATAGAAAAAACACTGGCTGCATGAAAAGCATAATTAACAGGAGGTCAGAATAATTGCTAGCTGTTCTTTTCACTAACTTAGAAAGTAGCATACATTTTAATTAATTTTCTATAAGAAGTGGCTGAGCTGTCATTCTGAAGTTATATATAATTTATCACAATCTTAGGGGCTATAGCTTACTGCTACATGTGTATCTCTTTTTAATTTTGAAAGTTTCCTAAAATGCTTTTTGATTTTTTCTTTTAAAGTGGTTCATTATTTGTCTTCTCTGTACCCAGATGCTTATAAGCTGCTAGTTTATAAGCCAGTTGGGCCCACAAGGTGAGATCTAGAAGGCAAAAGTGGCAACTTGCCACAGAGCTCAAGAGGCTGAAGTCAGCTAGAATGTATCAGAAATAATGGGGGGTGGGGATAAAGGTGGGGGGCTGGAGGATAGAAAGAGAGGTGAAATCAGGAACAAATGACTGGACATGTGGTATTTTTTTTTTAAAGACTAAAAACAGATAAGTTACATTTACATCTTTGCACTTTCATGCAAATATTCCTCCAACCATGACTAACTTTCCACAAAAGCTTCAGCCCACCAAACACTTGGTGTGGTTGGAAATTTTTGAGTGTGCGTGCATGGAAATCCAGCACAAGGGCCAGTTTCCACAACCAGAGCAAGCTGTAGAGCAGAGTGGTGATCCATGACCCTAAGTTACTATCAGTAGAACTTCCCCTAAGTGTCACACTACAGAGAAGGGTACCCCAAACTTTTCTTGCTTTTTGGAAGTATAACATGCCAGATTCCTGGTTACAGATGTACATCGAAGTTTCTAGAGTTAAAAGTTTAGGAAATACAAGACAATTGAGATTTCAGGTAAGTGTCACTTCATTTGTCCCTCAAAATGTAGCTACAGAGAACCTCTGAAAAGAAGTCATTGTTTTGTTCCGACCATGATGAATTAATGTGCATTGAACTACTAAACCTCAGTAATAAAGAATCCTGAAGCTGGACAAAATGCATAAAATAACAGAAAGCACTGGAGAGTCACCAACTCAGGTAAGTAAAGACATGGAGAACTGTGAGCAGGGAGACGCACACTGAGTAAAGGGAAGCAACGTGAGCGCCACAATTGCCCTGGAACTTTCTTGAAGGAATTTGCTATTTCACTTGGTGAAAGTACAGAATAGAAGAGAAAGGAGCAGTCACAGTGGCTGAGGAGCAGTCACAGTGGATGAAGGAGGCTGACGTTCAGGTGCTCTGACCACCTGGAACTTCTGGAATCCCAAAGAGCAGGGAGAGCCTGCTCCTAAATTCAGCCACCCCTCCCCTCCCCCACCACTCCTCCCCCCCAAAGGAGATAGCAAGTGGAGCTGCCAAGGCAGAACAGATTTCAGGGGCCCTGTGGTGCCCAGGGAATGGAGACCAAGCCTTGTGAACGAGAGGGCTCTTGGTCAACATCCCTGACTTTGGTCTGAGGGGTTGGAAAAGTCATGTCTTAGTAGTCAAGGTTGCCACTCTGGAGTAGGGACAGAGTGGAGAGAGACTTAACAAAGTCTTGTGAACTTTTTCGGCGATGTGATTTGCTGGTACTCTTTCTGTCTGCCGAAAGAAACTTTATCCTGCTTGTAGAGTTATAAGAGGGACAGTTTTCAGAACGAATAGCAACATTTAAACCAAATGATGACATCTGTTACCAAAAGAGGTAAGAAAGAAAAACAGGTAATCAAAATGATCCATCCCACTGGCAACTCAGATCTCGGAGTTTTAAAATCATTCCGATGAATGTTTCAGCAAATAGAATAAAAGAATACACTTTTAGTCTATGATGAAGGCCATAAATTGTGACCTTGTGGGCCTTAAAAAGTAATCAAATAGGAAATATTGGGGTTCAAAAATTTTCATTTTTCCCATGCTGGGGAATGTTGGCTACTTCTCAATCTCTCACTTCTTCTTGCCTTTTTAGTAACTTCCACCCCTTAATTTACCTTCATGCTTCAAAAACAGTTGTCATATTAGGCTGTCATGGAGCACAAAAGGCACCTGTGGTTTTAAAGTTCAGTTTGTCAAATGGGAAGACATACAAAGTGCCTTAGATTTTGAGGTGCTAGTGACCTGAACACAGCCTCTGTTCACAGTCACCTACAAGTTTGTGTGATGATGTACAAGTTACTGGACCATCTAAATCTGTTTGTAGTTCCATAAAAATTGACTGACATGTACCTTACTGAGTAATTTTAAACACTAAATGAGATCTTTGTATAAACAGAATGGTTAGCACAAATAGGTTTCCAAGAAACGTGGACATATCCTTTGCTGTGTACTACTATGAATGTCTCCTCAGAATTGCTAATCCTGAACTTTAGAATAGGAGACCATTTCTGTAGGACTGTTGTGAGTTCCTCCACCAAAATGAAGCCAGGCACAATTAGGATTCTTTCTCTAGCTTTTAAAGTGGAGAATAGCAATGACTAACAGAATACATGGGGTTGTTCAAATAATAGCTTTTTAGACTCCTGGGGTGGGGGGGTAGGAATTGAGTATTGCAAATATTGGGGACAAAGCTCAAGAAAACAGAGCAAGGCTTTTGTTGTTATATAATGCTATGCATGCTCTGGCTTGCCTTTCAACAATCATTCCTATTAAATCTTTTGTCTCTCTGACACACCTAATGAAGTCATATTCACGATCAGCTTAGTCACAGGATGCAGTTCGGTACATATTTTGACAGGAAGGCTGTTTGTATAAATGGAAACATGCAGCAAATATATATTTCATAAAATGTTCATTATGTGTTCAGTGTGACAATCTTTGGTGCTAATCCTCATATGCATATTTAGTTATTTTTAGAGTGCTTTGGGTTCTGGTTAACAAAAAGATTATTCTTAAGCAAAATTCATGTCAAATAAATGGAACAGAACAACTATAAACACAATCAACTCTACCTGGAAATCTTTAAATTCTGGAGAAACCACACACCTCTAGTTAAATATTATATATTATTAAAATTAATTCTGGTTATAAATACATGAAAATAAGCAAGAGATGAGTTGAGATGTTATCCACAAATAATACTTTCCTGGAATGTTGATGATAAAGTCCAGGTTTGACTCTAGCTAATTATTTAATTGCTCAACTAATGGCTAAATAGTCATAGCTTATATATTTAGAGATTTTTTTTAAAGTGAAGTCATGCCATACATGCTCACTGTTTATAATCTCCTGGCCCCATGCTATTAGGCCTTGGGACTAATTAGAAGGGAGACTTACATCACTCTCATGACCTTCTCGAAGGTTGTATGTGAGGTCGTGCTGAATGTCTTCTACGAATTTGTGGGCATATTCTGGGTAAAGGTCCAGCACTTCAAAGAGTCCTTTGAGGATGATACACTGGAGATCACAGTAGGTTAAAGCCTTCACATCTGCATTGGTCTTGATCACTTGGTCCTTAATTGATAGATTTGCGCCAATTAAATCTCCTTTCCCTTGAAAAAGTAAAAAAAAAAAAAAGTCACTTAAAAATAAAACAAACTTAAAACTGGAAAATTCATTTGACTTACAAGCTTCATTTCTGCGTAATTACACTGAAAAGAGAAGAACATTTATCTGGAGGAGGGGTTTCAACCTCAGCAGTGTTGCAACTTGGGGCATGATAATTCTTCATTGGGGAGAGCCTTTTCTTATTCACTTAGTACAATGTTTAACAGGCTCTTACAGTCACATTCCCCACCCTCAGTCATGACAACCGAAAATATCTCGACAGTGCTAAATGTCCCCTGACTGATCACACTGTCCCTGGGTGGTACTTGGAGGGTCAAGGCCACGAACTGTAGGTTATATGGGTCTCACAGGATCAGTAAATCACTTGAAACAAGCCCTTTGCTATTTTTGTCCCATTGGCCTTAACACTTCAAGGGAAATGAAAGAGGCTCTGAAGGTATAAAAAGGCTCTATGTTACTGAGGTAAGACCATCAGGAGATGTATTAATAATTTTGATAGAGGGTGATGTGGGAAGAGGAACCTTCGTTCCTCTTTTCAGAGGTGGGAGGCAGAGATAACTATAAGACATGATGGACAAAGAATTCTATTCCATAAAAATGTAAAAAACAAGCGTAGTTCTATAGCTCTGCCAGGTGTTAAAAAAATTCTCTTTGTCAAAAAGAAAGTGACAAGAAGTACAGACACAGTGGAGAGACAGGGGCCCTCATACACTGTTGGTGCTGTGTTATGCAAAGCAGTATGCAGTATGGAGATTACTGAGAAAATTAAAAAGAAAGCTTTTATTTATCCAGTTATCCCACTTCTGGACATTTACCCTCAAAAAAAAATATATATATATATAAACTAATTAAAAAAGATATATATACTCCCATGTTTATTGGAACATTATTTACAATAGCCATGTGCTGGGAACAACTTAAGTACCCATTGACAAGTAATTAGATAGAAGAGATGTTGTATGCATGCACACGTGCATGCATGCACACACACACACAAGAATACTACTCAGCCATGAAAAAGATGAAATCCAGTCATTTACAAGAATATGGATGGGCTTACATGCTTAGTGACAGCTAAATTGGATGGAGAAAGACCAACACTATGATTTCACTCATATGTGGGTATGTAGAAAAACCAAAAAAATAATAAACTGAATGAAAAAAATAATCTTTTAGACTCTAAGACAAATTAGTGATTATTATAAGGGAAGGATGTGGGTTAAGTGGCTAAAAGGTATCAATTATAATGTGAAGGATAAAACAGGATATTTAGTTATGAACTTACTGAAATAATAGATAGAGGTTGATTTCTAATCTAATGAAACTTATCTAATGTTATAAACCAGTGGTCCTTCAATAAAAGAAAAAAAACTGACTAACACTATGTGCTCTTCACTTGTGCCATCCCGGGGAGATAGCATTAACAGAATCTTGCAGGTCCTGTATGTCCCAGCCCACACCCAGCACCCCCTGATATTTTGCTTGTAAAACCTCAGCCTATCTGGTTGTTGGTTGGACTTCACCTTCCTGGGATCTATTTTACAGGCTTGAGACTGTTGATTAGATAATATCGAATAATGTATTTGACTCTTTAAAATCTATGAATTGATTTAAATTGTATCAACTTAGCAGGAAGGAGAGCATAACTGTACAGTGCTAACAAAAGATTGCTTAAAGCTTCACATTTATAGATTAGAGGTTCAGGTTTCTTCAAATTTGCTAAACATCCAGTTGAGAAATCAGAAAGAAAATCCACTGAATTCTCAGACAAACTTAGGTTAAAAGCTGAGGTAATATACCAAGTTCACAGAGGATACTGGGTTCAGGGCTACAACTTAGGACTTTTTGCATCTTTACGCTGTCCTCAAATAGCACCTTGCCCAGGCTCTGATTTTAATTGTTTTTTTCATAGTTACTCTGCTCCATTTCATAGGAACCAGCAACTGACAATTAACCAACCCACCAAAAAGCCATCAAACAAATAATATCTTTGGGATGTTATAAAACAGACTCTATTCAATTAATGTCTTAACTTCTAAATTTTAGTTTTTATTGTGACCAGCATTTCTGGAAATAAAGTCTCTGGAATGTAGCGGGATTCAATAAAAGTTGGTTTTACTGAAAATAACAGTAAAAGGGAACATCCAAATTATGCATACCTGAGACATTCATACATATTTATAGAAGATGAAAAACGGAGCATTTAAAAATTATTACATTCTCCTAGGTATATTACTTTCAAATTAATATTGTCTTTAAACCTTGAAATCAAGCCTGCTCTGATAGGAATAAAAAGACTAAACTCTATCTTTACAGACACTAAGGGAGTGAATATTGACAAGGAGCTGAAGAATCCAGGTGTAATTTATTGTGGTTACCAACACCACCAATCATGGAAATTTTGATTCTTGCACATTTTCTTAGAAACCTAATTTTCTGCTCAAAAACTCAGAGTTGGGACTGATATGGGATATAAAGATAGCCAGGATGCAGCGAATAGTGCAAATTATCAAATTTTGTATATCTGAGAATTTATCTTGATGCAATGTCTTGTCAAAATGAGCTCTCACATTTTCTCAACAATTGGTGTTTGTGTAACTTCAGGGTTATCACACTTTGGCACCTTAGCTGACCAATGTATGGCTATTTTTGGCCACAGTGACATCAACTATACAAGTAGTAACAACATCTTGCTAAACTTAGCACTCTAGAAAGAATTCCATCTTACTACTGGTGGCCCTCTGACTGTATGTGCCAGACCTTGTGTTAACACTGGTAATAACACGGTTCTCATACTCATTCAGTTTACTGTCTTGTGCATTTCTCATGACTGGGATTGTCTGGATTTGGGAACTAGATCTAAGTTTCTTGGTTACTCTTTATCTCAGGAGCACTATTTTAAAAGAGGAGACAGACACCTGTGGTCTGTTCTACTCTCTGTTTTTCAGAATTCTATTATTGACATTTGCTAATCAGTTATTTTCCCGTTGGGGGGAAAGGGTTGGGATCCATCTGCAAACTGTTTGAGTTACAGTCATAACTTATGTTAATTACAGTCAGGCAGACCGATGCCATCTGTGAAGAATGCATTAATCGGGGCTTTGTTGTTTTCTTTTAAACATCAATGAAGACATTGGTGAAGAAACACAATTACCGGAACGTGAAATGAAGGTGAAAAGGCTACCACTCTATTCCCATAACAGATTCCGGCCTGTATGTCAACTGCCTTCCCAGACATCAGATTAAGACATGCCTTCACGTATTGATTGGACAATGGAGTTGCTTGAATAAGTTATGATTTGACAGATGTGTGGTGAGACTTTTCCCCTATAACATTATATATTAATTCATCTTGTTGGCAGAATGAACATGTATTAAGTATCTCAGATCAAATGTGAGGCCATGTACTTAAGTTGATCAAAATCAGTATTGATTTGAATTAGCCATATTAAGACAATTATTGCCATCCGGAAAGTGAGATAGTCAATTTCCACTGACGTAATGCTAACCACACAGAGCAAATGTTAATTTATTGTCTTTGTTTAGGTTTAGTTGCAATACCACCGATGCGTGTTTAGAATGGCCATGTGGCAATTTGCACTTTAATCACTTTTGATATAGACATGGCAGAAACAAAGATGAGCCACGTTGAAACATGGAAATCATAATTCATGGAGGAATTGGAACCAGAAACAAGAAACAATGGATTAAGTCTTTCCATGTAAGTACAATTATTTTTTTACACAAGAAAAGACAAGACCACATGTAGTATATATAGAAAAAAAAAACAACAACAAATAGATAAGCTAAATAAAACAAAAACATATTTTTAGATTATTATGTCAATTAATGGTTGCCAGAAGGGAAAGCAGATGGCTGGGTAAATCCAGTAAAAGGGAACAATTGTATGGTGAAGGGGAGACTTGGACTTTTAATGGTAAGCCAATGTATTATTCTTCATGCTGGTTTTTTAATGGTGTAAGTCTAAAACTTATGAAATGTTATGGCAATTCAATGTTACTTCAATAAGAATACCTAATTGAATCATGTACTAACAATGGTAGTTATATAGAAACTTCTTATGAATTTGTACCTCTTATGTTTAAATGGTATGGAGGATGCTTTTATATTCTGTTCCTAGAATTGTTGTAAGTTGCTATATTTCAATATAAGATATGTTCAAAGTGGTACCTTTTATTATTTGTTCTTACATGTATATCAAACCATAAGGCTCTGGAAAAATAAATGTCTTTAAAGACAAGATATGGCAATAGGTAATTTCTATCCACAACTTTATGTGTACCTCTTAAAAAATCTCTTTCATTTATTTTGACTGTCTGTATGTACCTTCTTCACTTATTATTTACATATTCAATTATATTCATTAAAGTCTGAATGAATCAGGTACTGGCTTAAATGATATATTTTGATGTACAGATGGTCAGTAGGCTACATAAACATATACTGATCATCACTTACCATCTCTGAAATGCAAGTTAAAACCACAGTAAGATACCACCTCACACCTGTGAGCCTGTCCCATATCAAAAAGACCAGAAATAACTCATGATAACGAGAATGTGGAAAAAAAGAAACTCTGCACACCACTGGTGTGAATGTGGACTGCTCTGGTACTTCTATAGAGAACAGTATGGAGGTTGCTCAACATATTAGAAATAGATCCACTTTTTGACCTAGTAACTCTATTCCTAGGTATCTAACTGAAAAATGCAAAACCACTAATTGGAAGGATTAAGTGCATGCCTATGTTCACTATAGGACTATTTATAATAGGCAAGGGATAAATAGGTGCCCAATGACAGGGGAGAAGATTAAGATGTGGGATATATACACAATGGAATACTACTCAGTTATAAAAAAAGACATGCTCTCCCCATTTGTGACAACATCAATGGAATTGGGATATGAATGAAATAAATTAGGAGAAAGAAAAATCCTAAATGGTTTAACTTATATCATAAACATATAGAAACAAAACAAAGGGTCATATGAAACCAAAGTAGTAACAAACCCTAGAAATATGACAGCAGAATTGAAGCTGCCAGACGGAAGAGAACAGAGTGTGGAGGGCGCCCAGGAGGTTATGGAGGAGAGTGTGTGCTTTGGGTGAGTGTGGTGTGATAACATATATCTGAAAGGGTATGATGCTGTATACTTTTGGTTCAAGTACAGTGTTATAAAGCAGTGTAACCTTAAAAACAAACATGTTTAAATTCCTTGATTTTTAACAAGCATCAAATGATATGTTAAACACAACACTTAGCACAGTGTAAACTTAATATACAGTATTCATAATATCATAGTTGGCAAATTAAACCCAAATGAAGACCAGTCTTGAGTCCACATATTCAGCCATAATTTTCCATAGCAGATTTCCCTTCTACATCATCTCCTTAACATGGTCCAGAGAAAAATTTCATGAAGACTTTCAGCTCACACCTACCTAGAATAGCCAGCACCATGCTGTCTTTCAGAACTTCCATGGAGCCTGAGCATACAAAGTAGATGGCCTGCAAAGCATCTCCTTGACGCAGCAGATACTCTCCCGGAGCACAGAAAGAGGTTTTGATGTGTAGAGACAGAGATCTGAGGCAACCACGACTGGCACACTCAAAAAGGGACAACTGTAAAATTTCCTTGTTTAGATGCATAGTGATGTCTGAACGCAGTTCATCTGGAAAGTCTTTCAAAAGCTGTCAAGAAATGAAAGAGGAGACCAACTTGGGGTAAGTGGGGTCTAACTGATTTACTTTGCAAGCCCACAGGGATCCACCCCTCACTGACCAATAGAGTGTCAAAGAGGAAAGATAAATATTTATAATCCTGGAAAGATTTTTTTCAATGACTGTGATCCCAAGTATGTGCTACTGAATACTCAGCTGATAATTAGTCTGGAGATAGAGAATAATACTCCAGAATGAAAACACAGTGCTCATGTGACTTGCTTCTCACCAAGAATCCCATCTGGGATAGAAGATAAGGAATCTGGATTCCCTAGTGGAATCTGGATTCCATGACCAAACAAAAAGGGGAGAAACCAAATAATCACAGAAAAATGTTGATCTCTGGTTTAGTCGGGGAGTTGTGGAAGTGATTGCTTGATTCATATCAAGCAACTGATAACACCTTAGCATAAAAACACTAATTTTTTACTTTGATACTTTGGAAGGCAGCTACTAAGTTGATTAATATTTCAAGATTCTAGTATTCAGCTCACATAAAATTGGGTTCCTTTCAAAGAGAGTCGGTGAGAATGAAAAACCCTGCCTGCCTGATTTACCAAAGTAGCAAGTTCACCTTGAACACTGATCAGAGGAGAGGCATTTGGACACCAGAAGCCAAAACAAGTGAAAGACGATGGACTGGATTTCACGAAGGATTGAAAAAAGTCAAGAGAGAGAAGTTGCAGGTGTGTTCACATCTGAGGCCTATGGGAGAGGACCTTCCTTTAACTTGGCATATGTTTTCTGCCTGAAAACAGCAACGTGAGAAATGAACATTACCTCATTTGAATCTATTCCATTGTTGACTGACCAGGTTGTTTGGAAATATTCGAGCATCCTCTGTTTGAGCTGCTGGGGTAGATGATGGACACGTATGAAGTCCTTCAGGTCCTTAGTTCTGGTGTGATACAGGGACCACCTGGAGTACATCCTCTGTATGATCGCTGTCACGTTTCCAAACACCAAGGCATGCATCAAGGCTAGCAAGAACAACACAAGATATAATGGAAGAGAAATCCAGGAGCTCAATGCTTAAGTCTAAATTTGCAACCTGAATATTCTGTTTCAAAGAACAACATGATTACAAGCAATACAGCTATTTTGGTATATTCTGATGCAGTTGTTTTGATTTTGTGTAGCTTGATTAGAGTAAAAATATCTTTTAAAATACTCAATAACGGGCCCTCCCTGGTGGTGCAGCAGGTTACAGCACAGCACTAAGAAGCTAAAGCCACTTCAGCATGAGTTGGATCCCCGCCTGACATGGAGGGGACCCACATGGCATCGCAGATCTCTCCTGGCCCGCCTGCTGCTCCCCTCAGTAGTGTACTTCGTTGATCTGCTTGTTCTGTTCCCCACTCTGTCTCTGGTGAATCCTCTTACCACCCCTGCACCTCTGACCTGTACCTCAGTTCTGCATGCATGAAGAAATAAATAATACTCAATAATATGCAGACTAGATTCCATTGATCCACACTTCATCTGTTATCTGCCATTTGGGTGAATTTTTATTTTGCACTCTCTTCACATATATATTATTTTAACTCTTACATGTAGTTGAATAATTATGATGAAATCATTTTAATAATTCCATAGAATAAGTTATAAAGTTGTAGTTAATAGTTATCATTATTTTAATAATATAAACATTGATGTAAGTTTGTTATAATCTTTTCACAAAACCATCATTTAAAATTATTTTTGGGAGATTAAATAGGACATATTTATGTTATAAAGCCACTGAGAAAGTTGTTAGAAATGTAATTTATTTCCTGAGCAACCTGAAGCCCAGATTAATATGGTTCCAATCCTCAATCATATTTTATCTCCAAAACCACCTTAATTTTAAGGAGATATCAAAAAATTAGAGTTAATTCGAGAAACAAATGAATTCACAGAACAAAACAGATATTCTGCTTGGACCCATTATAGCTATTCTAAGACCAGTTTAGGGTGGGGGACGGTGCAGACGTATGCAACTTCGTTTCGAAGAGGATTTAAAGAGTTAAGGTATTTTTAAAAAGTGACTAGTATATGTGTGAAAAACAGTGGGAACTCAATTCATGTTAATTTTCTCGTAAGAGTGAGAAATGTTATGAATTTTCAACATGCTCATCAACGAAGCTAAATTTGGGGGAAAGGACCCAGATTTAAGGTTTTTACAGCTGCTACTTTAATAATTAAAGAGTAGCTCATGGTGGAAATAACTTCTTATTAGAAACTTGAGACCGATCATTAGGTGTCTGCTACACCCAAATACATGTACATCTCTATTTTTCGAAATGTTAAAAGAAAATGTCTTCCATCTGGTCCAAAGCATCCCAAGGAAAATGCAGATTGTGTAACAACTTTCTGCCGATTCTAAATAGTTTCATTCTTGTGTTTTCGAAACACAACAGTTCTGAGGCTTAACTATTTTGTTTGAAAGAAGAGACCTCTACTTATGATAAACACTCAGCAAAGAAAAGAACTGACTCTGCTCCAAGTTGAAGAAATTAAACTGCGATTTCAAGCTCCGTTAATATACTTATGGGCTGGGTGTTTGGAAGCCCTGGCATCTGTAAAAGTATGTAATAGTCTTTTATGGAGATTAAACTGAGTACCGAGGACAATTTTATTTCATTTATTTTAACACTGCTTTCCTTAATTATGTGTATGATTTTAACTTTGCTTTGCTTAATTATAATGTGTAAAGCACTTAGAGTAAGAGAAGTAATATGTTCAGATCATTTAGCATCCTAATTGTACATTATCAATAAAATGAATTACTGGATTAATTGTAGCATTCATAAGGGTTGCTGGAAAGTACTAGTCTATATCTGAGTCACCCTAATTTTAAAGTCTCATTTCAGCATAGGAAAATACTTCTAATTTAAGTCGTTAAAAAAAATAAAACCTTAGCTTCTCGTACTTTTCAGCTTCCAAAGTTATTATTGCTTCTCTGTCACTGGTTATCCGTTTCACAGACAGAGACTGTGTGTAACTGTCAGGCCAAATCATTCCATCTGCGATGAAAGTTTGACTCAAGAACTTCTATATCCAGGTCAGTTTGGAAATTATCATTCACTTTTCCTTCTACTCCTAGAAAATGTGATATGCATAATTCTTAAAGTAGCATGCTCAGCCTGCTGCTTGCTGAGTGTGTGGGAAGCTCCTTTTCTTTGTGTGGGAGTTCTGTTGAAAGTGCATTTTGTAAAATCTTACTCGTGGCTTTGGAAGAACCTCAGCAATTGGGATCTAAGAAGAAAGTGAACAGACTTCAAATGAAATTGGACTCCAGGTGAACTTCTGGACACCCTCTCTCTCTCCCTTTGTCTTTCTCTTTCCTTTCCCCCCTTTTTCCTTTCCTCTCCTTTCACTTCTTTGTACCTTTGTTCTTCCCCCACAGCCAGCTCTTTCTCTCTCTGGATTTTGGGCAATATTGTTCTCCTGTGGAATAACATCACTGCTGATTTCTTTAGACCAATACTTTGCAGTGCCTTTGAAGCCTCCACAGGGACCATCCGCTCCAGCATAAAAGGATGCCAGAGCTGAGATTTGGGGTAATCTTAGCTGGCTTCCTCTACCCCACTGACTCATTGCCTGGAATTTTCCACTCCTTGTTATAAGTTGAATTGTAGATAGCAGATGGCAGAGAAAATAGAGGATGAGAACAACTCCCTAAATAATATTTTTTTAATAATAGTTTATTTTTCCATATATTTGTGCATTTTTCCATCTCAGTTGCAATCCCCCTGGGTTTCCCATCACCAAATCACCCATGTGCCTTCACCATAGTCCAGTGCATTTCTCTCCCCCCCCTGTTTTTGATCCTATTCCCCACTCCGCCCGCACAAAATGTATATAACTGTTCATCATTATCATTTAAGTAATAAATTTTTAAAAGGCATCTTAAACACAGCCCAAATATGGGTAAAATAAAATTATGGCAGGATAGTAGGTGTGGGATGAGAGGACCCAAGGAAAGCCTCGGCTCTAACATTATCATGATATTGTTTAAATGGGACATGTACTGATGGAGCCTCTTCACCAGGAAGCTTTATCTAATGTTATTCTAAATAACTGCTCCATCAGTTGGGCTAACTGGGTAGTGATTATTAAGAGTAATAGAACTTTTTTTTTTTTAAAGATTTATTTATTTGTGCATACAGAACTGGGGTGCAGGCCAGAGGCTCAGGGGCAGTGAGAGGATTCACCAGAGACAGAGTGGGCAACAGAACAGGCAGATGGACGAAGTACACTGCTAAGGGGAGCAGCGGGCGGGTCAGGAGAGGTCTGCCACGCCACGTGGTCACCTCCGGGGCAGGCGGGAATTGAACTCATGAGGAAGCGGCTTTAGATTCTCAGTGCTGTGCTTTAACCCGCTGCGCCACCAGGGAGGGCCAGAACTTTTAATGACAAGAGAAAAAGTTCTCACTGTATTTGTTGGCAAGGACATGTTGTCAGTATAAACATTCTAGAAAACAGGAGTATATACATATAAAAAGACCAAAAGGCTCTTTTGGTGATGGAAGTATGTGTAATTTTATTTTAGAAGTGGATTTTCCAGTCTTTTCTAAATGTACGTTACAATAGGAAGAAATAAAATGGAAAAAAAGAACATCATCTAACTGCTTATTTCTGTTACTAAATTGTGAATTCCTCAAAGGAAAGTATCACAGCTTAGTCATCTTTGTTTCTCCAGCACCTAACACAGTGCCTGGCATAATTGAAGTGTGCCACAAATATTTATAGAACTGAAATGATGCTTTTCTTTAAGGAGTACTTGATACTTTCTTTAAAAAGTTTTACAATCTTAAGCAAGTGGCTTAGAAAATCTGATAGTTTAGACCTAAGTCTACCCTTTCATTCCTTACCACTCCCTAAAGATAATCTTTTAATATTATTTCTTTTAGATCTTCTTGTGATTATCACCAATATTTTAGACAGTGATATTACTTCTATTGCTTGACTCGTCATGTTAAGACAGCACATAAAAACAACCTGACAGGAGAGATGTGCTCACTGCTATTCACCTCCTCATCCCACGCTTGATAGTTTATATTATTTTTAACTTGTCTATTGTAATTTTCTAAGATAAAATTCATACTAAAGAAACACATGGAGAAACTGACACAAATACTAAATGGATAGCTCACTAAGATTTCTCAAAGTGACGTGGATATCCAGCGCAGATGAATAAGCAGGTCTTATCAATACCCCAGGGTCGCTCCTCTGTTCCTCTTCATAGTCAGTAACCCTTACTAAAGCTAGCCACACTTAGGGATTATGTAGCAATCAATAACTTTTGCCTGCTTTAGAACTTTCTCTAAACAAAATCAAAGAATATTTATGTGTTTTTGTGTGGTATATCTGCTCAGTATTTTGTTGCTAAGATTCCCCCATGTGTCTGCATGATATAATAGTTCCTTCACTTTCATTACTGTATAGTTCTCCATTGAATAGTTAACAATTTACATACTTGTTCTATTAATAGGCAGCCCCAGTTTGAAATTCTTACAGTGATGTTCCCACAGACATCTATCTATATGACTTTTAATATACAGACATACACATTCTCTGTTAGATAAACATGCAGAATGGAATTTCTGCATTTCAGAGTACAGATGAGTTCAAAGCAGTAGATATCAATAAAATTGTTATATCAGTTGGGAGTCCCATCAATAGTACAGGAGAAGTCAAGATGCTCTCAGACACTAGAGTATACATGCTAATTTTGATTTAAATTAGCATGTCCCTGATAAGTGATGTTGCTGTTTGTCTATTTGAGTATGATATACCACACAAAAACACATACTGTACTTGTGTTTTTTAAGGTTTTGATACATTTTGGGGTTATCTACTCTTATTACTTAGTAACTGTTCTCTATATGAAAACATAAAAGTCTTTTATTAGGTAATGTTTGCAAATATCACCGGTCCTACGCCTTGTCTGTTCACATCCTCCATAATCTTTTGTTAAAAAAAATTCTGCAATTCCATCTGTCAGTTTAGAACTTTATGTATCATGTTTCAGAGACCAAATCCAAGGTCATAAAAATATTCTCTTGCATTATCTTTGAAAGCTTTACTGTTGCCCGTTCCACATTTAGTTCAAGAGTTACCTGCAATTAATCTGAATGTACATTTTGAAGACGGTCAAAGTTGTTTATCAACAGGTGGATGTACGTTTGACCCAGTGACAATTATGGAGATAGTTAGCATTTCCTCTTTGCACTGTAGGGTCAGCTGTATCTGAAATCAGGTGAGTATGTGGGCCTGTCTGTATTTCATTGGCCGCTGTATTTCTGAGCTAACTCAGCCTTCTTAATAACTGTATATTTATAAAGCATTTTGGGATCTGTTAACATGAATCAGTTTTGTTCTTTATAATAGCTTTGACTAGGTTTAGCTCTGATTTCTAAAAATTTTTGGAAACTTGTTATTTTTCAAGCACACATGCGTGCACAAATATACCTCTGCTAGGGTTTTCATTAAGTCTGCACTGAATTTTTAGACTACTTTAGATAAAACTAGCATCTTTAAAACATTGAGTCTTAAAATCTCCACTATTGTATATCCTCCCATTATTCAAACCATCTGTAAATATTCTCCATGTTGCTTTACAGTTTGTTGTATAATAGCTTTGCATTTTCAAAGATTTATTCCTACATATTTGATATAATTAAATCATTGTTTAGATTTCTATTTTCTAATTATTTGTCATTACCTTACTATTTTTTAACGATTTATTTATTCATACAGAACTGGGGTACAAGTCAGAAGTACAGGGGTGGTGAGAGGATTCACCAGAGACAAAGTGGGGAGCAGAACAGGCCGACTGATGAAGTACACTGCTGAGGGGAGCAGAGGGTGGGTCAGGAGAGGTCTGCTGCACCATGTGGATCACCTCCTGGGCAGAGATGGAACTTATGCTGAAGTGGCTGCAGCCAGCTTGCAGTACTGTGTCCTAACCCATTGCACCATGAGGGAGGGGCCCTCATCCTTACTAAATTTACTTAATCTGTTTTTATGTGTCTCTGCACTGCCTGTTGATATCAAGTATGTAAATTCACTTAAATTGAATAGTTGCTTCTAAGGTTACTTCTTTGTTTCGGGTGTTCTCAAAGTGCACATAGATTTGTCTAAGCATGGGTCCTTTTATCGTTATTTTTGCCTAATCTCTTTTTAATAGTAATGTATATTCTTTCCCATAGATCAGTGGTATGTGCATTCTTTGATGCTTCTCTTTTCCCCAGCCTTTTTACTCAGCCTATGAATGCTTCTGCCCTAGATACTTAGCAGGTAATATTAGCAGTCACCTGAAATATTGTTATTTCATATTGCTACTGTCTGCTTTTGTAGTAAATATTGCATCCCTGTCATTAGCATTTCACAGCCTCTGTGGGAATTTCTACCTTTGAGTCCACAGAAATGAACACCTAAATTTCCTTTAAAAGAAATCATTTGTATATCTGTGGAGAAATGAAGTGAATAAAATTAACTTATAATGTGTAATGAAATGGATATTTTACAAGAAGTTTACTAGCTTTAGTAACTAAACCTCTGTGGCCTTATTTTTAAATTGGGGTGTTAATAACATCAGCTCATATTGGTATGAGCATTACATGAACAAAGTGTTCAACACAATGAGCTCGTTTGATTAGTTTTCAAAGTTATGCAAGTAATTAGCTAATTAGGAAATATTAAAATGAAAGGCACCATTTCTCCTAGCCTAGGGTAGCTGTCACATTAATATAATTATTTCCCACCAACACAAATTTGGGAAGCTTTAACTAATAAATTCAAGTTACTTAGATGCCATTTGGCATTGAAAACCAATGGCTTCCTAAGTGCTGCTCAAGTCAACTAAATCCTTTAATGCCACTTACAAATGAGCATTGGTTTTGCACAGGATAATTTGCTCAATAAACATTTATCAAGAGACAAGACGTCATTATCTGATTATTTCCCATATCCTTGGCCTGTGACCAGCACAGCTTCTTCTTACAATGCATAACAAGGAACAATTTATGTCTCAACAATTTCTGATTTCAGGTCACTCACAAAATAGTAGGTGGATCAATAGGGAGTAAGATCAGCTATCTAACAGATTTTTCAAATATCCAATTAGGAGATTAAGCTTTGAGCACTTCCCAAAATTGCTCTCCAGAGAAAAAAGTAAGGGGAAATATTAAATGAATATTGTGTGTGTTTATTTGCAAAATGTATTTCATTCTGGGCTGATAAGACCCACTGTCCAGGAGGGCAGAGATTATGTAAGTCATAACACTGGGCCTAAAACAGCCCCCACTGGGCCTGGTATGTTGGAGCTGTTCAGAAATGAGAACTCGGAGTTTCTGCTCCCTAGAGTTTTACTTTTCTACATCAGCCGAGAGCCTGTTCCACTGGTTCAACCTCAGCACGCCTCTTCAGCAACTCTGCCATGAGCACTGCCTTTCCAAGAAATTCTCCTGCTCCCAGGCCCTCAGTTCTGAACTCCTAATTGACTTGGCCTAGTGTCTACTGCCTGGTGGTGTTAAAGTCTTTCCACAAGTGTCAGCCTCTCTCTTCCAAATTAGCTCATGAGCTCCTTGAGGGAAGGTTTGACTTTACATGTCTGAGTTCACCATGGGCTGCATGACTCATTACTTAGTTGAGACATTATTTCGCATCCTTCGTGCAGGGAAGCTGGTAGGAATCATTCCCTGCGATCAGGTCCTACGGTCTAAGTGGCACGGGGGAGTGAGTTCCATTGAAAGATGGGATAAAACATGCTTTGGGGATACCGCAAGGCATGAAATAGTGAAAGAACTCTAAGAAGACTAGTTCCTCTTACTTCATGAGAACTGTGTGACAAGTCAGTGAGTTTTCATCTGTTTTCTGAAGACAGAGGTTGGTGTTCAAAAAAAGGAAGGGCTGTCCCTTGTCTCTTTCATTTCTGCCACGTTGGGAAGTTACTTTATTTCTCCCAGTTTTAGCTTTGTCATCAGACAAAGTGGATAATGGTGTGATTCACACATCAGTTGGGAGGTTTAAAAGAGAAATTAAGCTAAATAGTCCAGTGGAGGGAAATTATTACAGAGAATGGTGTCTCTAGTGTTAGTGGGCTCAATGAGCAAATTGATATAATGGTCACTGCAGGAGCTTCTGCCCGTGGGGATGGATTAACCAAGGGAAGAAGTGGGGAGGTCAGGGCATAGATGAGCAGGGAAGGAGATGAGAGGAGCAGTCCGGGCTGAGGCTTTGGATGTGGGGGCCTGCCAGGTGATGCCTAAGCAGGCCCAGGAAGGCTCATTCTGCAAATGTCTGAACAGCTTGAGGGCTACAACCTCCTCCTGACACCCTGGTGGCCTCCTTCGAAAGATACATTGCATGAGACAAAACAAGACAGTCCTTCCCCATCTTCTGCCTCCAATCGCCCTCTGGCATTCCCTATTGGCAGGAGAACTGAAGGAGACTGAGGTGTGTCTCAGTGTGAGAACTGAAAGAGAATGAGCTGTGTGGACCCCAAACCCTACATTACAAAAGAGAGTATAAAAAGTGAGCTCAGAGCTCAAATTATAATATAATAACTTGTTTGTGTCCAAAGGGAAATTAATAGCGACAAGCTTACATATTTGCCATAGCCATCACTGGGGGATTGCATCAAGGCATTTAGCTGAGAGAATGGAACAAAAATGCAATGAATATGTTTATTATTGTACTGTTTTTTGTTTTGTTTTTAGCTAAGTCATCTATCTAAAATCCTCAACTAATACTAGAATAGCAGTAAGAAAATTTTGATACAGTAAGCTGTTTGGGCTCTAAGATGGAGTTTGAAACATAAACCTGCAATTTAGTCTCCCGTAACTCTTAAACACTAGAGATAAACGTATGTCAGGAAAGCAAAATGCACATGGGTGAATTGGTGGTGGGAAGTCCACGAGGATTATAACTGAGATGAAATATGCACAAAATGAAGAATGATGTAAAAAAATTATATAAAAAAGAAAGCAAAGTGTCTACACCTTCAAAATCATTAATCAGGTTACTTCGTTCTCTGGAATTCTTCAGCATCAGGGACTTTCATTGCTAATCTGTACATACATTAAAATGGGTTCACTGCATTATGAAGCTCTCCGAAGCCACTGCATCAGGATTTCTATCCCCAGCCAGGGAGCTGACCCACATGGCACAGCAGACCTCTTCTGACCAGCCCGCTGCTACCCTCGGCAGTGTGCTTTGTCAGTCTGCCTGTTCTGCTCCCTACTCTGTCTCAGGTGAATCCTCTCACCTCCCCTGCACCTCTGGCCTGTGCTCCCGTTCTGTAAGCATAAATAAATAAATCTTTAAAAAAAATATTTCCTAATGATTTCCTAACCAGGGCTTTTAGATGCTGCCAGTGTCAACCAGTCCATCTCCATTGTGGCTTAGAACAGAGCAAACAGAACACCGCAGTTGGGAAGACACACTCCTTTGTCCCCATGGTATAGAAGAATTTCTCTTACCACCAATCAGCATGGTGCAGATGGAGAAGATCTTCTCAGCATCTGTGTTAGCAGAGACATTCCCAAATCCAACACTGGTCAGACTGCTGAGTGTGAAGTACAGAGCAGCAATATAGGCACTTCGGATGGACGGCCCCCCCAAGGTGTTATTGCTGTAGTAGGGCGATTCCAGCCTCTTTCCCAGCTCGTGGAGCCAACCTGCAGTGAAAGGGGTAACCACGACCATCACTGGAGAAGCACACACTTGCCATGAGAATGAAGAAAGTCAAAGGATCCGATTCCTTTGCTATGAAAGAAAAAACATCACTTTTACGCACACTGCTCTATATCCTACGACAGCAGAGAAATAGGGATTCAAGAGTGCGTGGTGGTCAAGCTGAATAGGTTACTCGAATGCAAGAAACTACCTGCACAGGTTGAAACTGGGGTTATCACGCTCAGTAAGAGAGTTGCTTATTTCACGGGTGGTGAAGCTCCATTCTCAATTGGAATTTTAAGCAACACAGGGTATGAGTAGGTCGTTGAAATCCTGCATGATGATATGTAGCAGCAACCGAAAAGTCTCTGGGCTTCAGATGGGCGAGATGGGCTTTTTTCTATCCTGAACAATGTTTTCCTACTTGGCTCTCTGGGGCTGCCATCTGGTTGTCTTCCCAGTCTTACCTCCCTCAGGACACCTTCTTTGTAGCCTTATTCTGCCATTTGTTGGCGGAGAGGGAAAACTGTAGAATTAAGGGATACTTGTAATAGACTTGCATTCCTCCCCTCCCCCCAACAGTTATTATACTGGTGTCCATGAGTGTCAAAGCTATCAAATGAAATGCTTTAAATATGTGCAGCTTATTGTATATCAGTTATACTCTCATTAAAGTCTGTACAGAAAATTTACTCCTTAGAATTTTGTGTTGGGTCCTCCCTGGTGGTGCAGCGGGTTGGGACGCAGCACTGCAGGCTGGCGGCAGCTGCTTTAGTGCACGTTTGATCCCGAGGCCCCAGAGGTGACCCACATGGCGGGGCAGACCTCTCCTGACCCACCTGCTGCTCCGCTCAGCAGTGTATTTCCTCAGTCGGCCTGTTCTACTCCCTACTCTGTCTCTGGTGAAGCCTCTCACCACCCCTGTGCCTCTGGCCTGTACCGCAGTTCTGTATGCATAAATGGATAAATCTTAAAAAAAAAAAAAGATTTTGTTTTATAAGTTCCCCCCTCTCGCCATCCCCAAACGCTTTCTATCTATTGTGTGTATATTACAAAACTCCATGACCTTTCAGCTTAAGCCATAGGTCGAGGAGACTTTTCTTAAGGTGTATTATTCACTAGCCATTGCTTTCTTATAGAAGCTTCAGTTAATGGCTGACCAAGGGGAGATGCAAAGCCATCGCGCTGTGAAGTGGTAATAATGCTGCTGTCATCAACTAAAGTCATAGATTATGCAACTGTGCCAGGTAATTAAAATGCAAATTTGAAACAACTGGGAATTCCATGAGACAGAAGAGAAATGCTGCATCGTAAGTACTATGCCTTATTCATCCCATGTCTCTAGAGAGTATTTAAGGACTTTAGTTTGTCTTAGACCCTTCTAGAGGGCCTGTTAAACAGACACAATCAGCTCGGACACAGGAGTTTCTGGTGCGGACAGGAGGGTGGGAGAGGGCGTGGGTGGAAGAATTGAGAATTTGCCTTTGCAAACGCGATGTTGATGTCCACTGATCAAACCCTGAAAACCTGGCTCTAGAGCAACGGTTCTTGATATTGCCTGCAGCCAAGGAAAGTTAATAAATGACCCAGGTTCTGCCTTCATGAACAAAAAAATCCTCTCACCACCCCTGTACCTCTGGCCTGTGCCCCAGTTCTGCATGCATAAATAAATAAGTCTCAAAAAAAAAAAAAAGGTAAGAGAAACTATGAAACCAGCTGTGAATTGTAAAGGAAAACATAGAAATGAGGGAAAATCCAGGTGACAGTAGCTTTTAAAATTTGGGGAGCTGTCCTCCCATTTGTGAATCTGTAGGCTTTTTCTCTGAACACTGCACATGTGGAGACACACAAAATTCTGCATACATTTTTAGCTGGTTCCTTGCCTTCTACAGCTATTTCATACACGTCTGGACCAGGAACCAGGTTTAAAGACCCCCTCCTCCCCCCCCCCCCGTAGTATTTAAGGGAGGGGAAGATGGGAATAGCAAAGTATGATTTGGTAAAACTGAGTTTAATAAAATATGGAAAAAAATCTCAAAATAAAGACAATGAATTCAAAATTAATCAAGGTGTTATCACCAAAGCAAATCAAATTTACATTTCAACGCTATTACTGGTCTAAGAAGACAGCCAAGACACAGAGTAAAGTCAGGAAGCAGAGGTGACCTCTGGATTGATCATCACACGATTTCTGCTGAGCAGAGCTCTTGATGAGCAGCTGACACCAGCATGTCAGGATGGACTCAGAGGCCTGTTGGGTTGGCTGTTCTCATGTGACTTCCCAGTTGTGCTCTGAAAGGGATGTCATGTCATTTCTCCTCAACAAAGAAGTGATTACAGGGACTTGTCTCTCAGCTCCCTACTGGCCATTCCTGCTAATTATTGGGAAATCAGAACAGTTGCAAAATGTCACTTTGCCCAGAGTTTATATCGACATGATCTCATTTTTGTTTTAGTTGATGCACAGAGGAAAATAAAAACACAATAAACCTACTGCTTGCTCTTGGCTAAATTGCTATTCAACTAGACCATGAACACAACCAGACCCACCTGCTGATCTTGAGCTGAATTATAGTATTCATTTACTTATGCAACCTAAAGTTTTGTCATTTACAAAGGAAAAAAACAAAACAAAACAAAAAAAACAAAAAACAACCCAAACCCAGGCAAAACATTTGGATAAACTCCTTCAACTTGAACAAAACTGAAACCTGAACCAAATTAGTTTTCATATAATTTGATTTCCTTAATAAAAGAGGATCAACTTTATTGGGCTCTACAGATTGTTTTATAGTCTCATTCAATGCCTGTTCATTTACATATATGTGAAAATGAATCTCAGTCTCAGAAATTATTCAGGATGCAAAGCACAACAACAGACCTACTTTTGTTGATACCTCTTTTCTGTCTGGCCAACTGTTCAGTCTATTTTCGGAAACATCTTGTTTTTTAAGAAAAGTTGCTACTAAACTGTGTTATAGCTGACAGAGCAGAAGCAATAATGATGATGAAAAACCTGGTAGCACGGGAAGGAGGTAACACCCCCCAAATCCGGGGATTGGCTCTGTGGGCTAAATAAAACTTTTTCACAGAACAGCTCCTCCGAAATGAGAGCACATGTTTCACTGTAACAAGACAACATGTCACTGTAATATACAGAAGAAGCAATTTAACCAATTTAGAAGTCAATCTTTTTTTATGCTGGAGAAACTCATCTAAAGGAAGGGATGTCCTAGAACAGCCTGTCTACCTCTGTTCCAATTTTTTTTTCCCCCAAAGAACATTTGGAAGGAAAAGCACACACAACAGAAAGTAGAATCTAAACATACTGAATCCACTGCCATGTGATAAAAAACCAAAAGATAGAATCTTTTCATTACTAAAAATAGATGAGATGAACAAAATATCAATTTCAAAGCTAAAAAAAAAATCATAATGATCATGCCCAGAGGAGTCTATAATTTAGCATGACTGTTCAATTCAGGTATTTTCTACCACGGGCCCAGAATTTTGCTTAATTACATACCTTAGCCCCAAACAGAAGTTTCTTTAGGTTTCTTAGAACAATGCGCTCTCTTGTACTATGTTATGTGTGCATTCACAGTGTATTATACCAGCATGACCTGGTGTGTTCCTGAAAAGTTAAGCCTCTATTAGCAGTTTCTATTAGCATTAGCATTCACAGATAACTTAGGTGTAATGAATGGAACTGGAATATGTTATTTAGGGTAACCCATGCTAACTCTGTTAGTCATATAATCTGCTTCAGTAACATGAAAAAAAAATCCTTTATGCTATAAGCCGATGAAATCAGATTTATATGTGTGTGTAAAGAAGTGTTTTATATCAGCAGAGAAAAGAGAGAAAGGATTACCACATGCATAATTACACTTAAAATTCAAAATGCTTTTTTATTTCCTTTGGTATGAATAAAACACATTCTAATGGGGCTCAGCTGGAAAGAAGAACAAAGATGCGGTCAGGCTGTCTTGTTACCAGGAAGGCACATGGCTGACATTTCACCGAGTGCTTCCTCTGTTGCAGATACTTCTAGGGTACTTCTAGATACTTCTTCCCCTCACTCACACACACTAACCCAGAGCAATGGGTTCAATCACCACCCATATTTTGAATCATTATTTCACTAGTCATTACACAACTTATAAATTACTATGTCCATTTTAAAGATGAGAAAACTGCAGCTCAGAGACATTGAATAATTTGTTCAAAATGTGTTCAGTAACTCTGTTCAGGAACAGAGCTCAGAGGACTTCATTCTCTTGTACAGACCCCATGTCCTGGTGCTGCTGCCTTTATAGGTAACGACCTTTGTAGGAGCGGGGCCGTTATTGATGCCACACATGGATGGGAAACAAGCCCTTTTAGTTCAGGCCCCTCAGAAGCACACCTGAGAAAAGGTTATAAGTAAGTAATTTACTTTAGTGTTAGGTACGACAGAAGACAGTGGAGAAGGGACACTGAGAAGGGAAAGGGTGAAGTATGCCTAATCAAGCAAGCAGCTGTCCAAGCAGTAAGAGCAATGTCATCCCATTGGGGATCTCCGCAATCTCACACCTAGCGGAGCTGGTTAGGTGTGAGCAACTCTCACCCATCACTGACTGAGGACAACTCTGGGAACAGCCAGCCCCTTGCAGCCTTCCAGAGTTGGGAGATAACCTAAGGATGGAGTCACACAGCATGAGGGGACATGGTGAGCATCAAAAACAATGCTTACTAAATTATAAGTGTTTTGCGAGGCTCCCATGCCAGGCAGTCTTTCCATTCTATTCTCACAGTAACTCTCCATCTCTTTTCTTTTCTTTTTTTAAAGATTTATTTATTTTTGCAAACAGAACTGGGGTACAGGCGAGAGGTGCAGGGACAGTGAGAGGATTCACCAGAGACAGAGTGGGGAGCAGACAGGTCAACTGACGAAATACACTGAGGAGGGGAGCAGCGGACGGGTCAGGAGAGGTCTGCTGCGCCATGTGGGTCAGCTCCT